CGCCCCGCCCTCCGCCGGCACTAGCCAATCCCCAACGGGCCCGTCTTCCAGCCTCGAAGCGGTCACCTCCTGACCTCTAGTGGCGAACCTGGGGAACTGCTCCCCGGCCCGTCCGCCCGCCGAGCCCAGGCCGTGCATGCCCTGCCCGTTCTTCGCAAACCGAGTGAACCTCCCGATGCATGGACTCTGGCTGTCGTCGACGCAGACTCTCGTGCACTGCTTAACACCGTTTTGCTACCATGTGACGGCTGCAGACACTGCCCTCAAACTGCAGCCTCACACACACGTTTTGTACTTTGGTCTGACCTACCCGAAGGTGTCCTTTTTGAGTCTTATTTGTTAATATTTATAATGACATATAATCCAAAGTAAATGGAAACATCATATTGCGATCTCATTGCCTTGGCAAGACGCTCACCTTGTAATAGATTTGAAGGGGGTGGGGGCGGTGGCTCAGGCCTGTAAGTCTTAGCACTTTTGGAGGTCGAGGTGGGAGGATTGCTTGAGGCCAGGAGTTTGAGAGCAGCCTGGTCAACATGGAGACACTCTGTCTCCACACACACACACACACAAAATGACCATTAGCCTGGCGTAGTGGCACACACCTGTAGCTCCAGCTCTTCGGGAGGATGAGGTAGGAGGAGGAAGATTGCTTGAGCCTGGGAAGTGGGGATTGCAGTGAGCCAAGATCATGCCACTGCACTCCAGCCTGGGCAACAGAGGGAGACCCTGTGGGGGGGTTGGGAGGAAGGATTCGTAAGGGTTGGAGGGGAGGGGGAAAGACGGAGGAAAAGGCAACTGAAACCTACTCTGGATATAGTCTTGTTACTCTTCACCAGGCACCCATTTGAGGTAGGCCCTCAAGTTACAGATGGGGAAACTGCGGACCAGAGAAGTTAAAATACTTGTACCGAATCACACGGCTGGTCGATGGCAGAAGCAGGATTCAAACTGAGGCCACCCAAGACTTTTTGCACTAGGACCTGTTGGCCGTGCTGTTGGCCACTCATCCACCAAACAGCTGTGGAGTATTGACTCAAACGCCAGCCCCTGTCTGAGTCTCCAAGGGAGTTAAATGTTGGAAGGTACTTTAAGACACGTATTGTGTAGGTTTTGAGGGGGAGAAAACCTTCCTAACACAGTTTATTGAATAGTTTATTGCACATCATTCCTTAGGTCAGATAGAAACTTCTCAAGAGATACAAGCCTTTGCTTTCTAACATCGACTAACGAAGAAAATGTATGTCACTGAATGTGCAAACCTCTCAATCTCTTTCCTCTATGTCTCCCCTCAGGGTCAGGGTCAGGGTTAGGGGTTAGGGGTTAGGGGTCAGGGGTTAGGGTTCACGCTTGGGGTCGCACTAGGTCCAGGTGTGGGTCCGGGTCAGCGTTTCACATTTAGTGAGGGTTTGGCGTTTGGTTTTGGCTGGGTTAGGGCGGGTTAGGACTCGGGTCATAGTTTTCGGTTGGTGCGGTGGGCATCCCTGCTGTAATTTCCTTTCTGGTTGTCACCGTGACCGTAACCCCAATTCTGGTTCCACTGCTCTCCCCGTTCAGTTGTCAGGGTTCTTTTCAGGGCTGGCTCCATTCATTGCTCGCTCCTCCTACTTATCTCGCCTGTCCAATCGGCAGAGCGCTCCACCTTCTTGTTCCGCCCTCTTCTCCCTAACATCCAATAGCAGCCTTCTCCGCAGTCCTTGCTCCTACCACTCCTGTCTCTTGCCCAATCAGCAGGCTCTACCAATGCTCACTCCGCCCACTTCTCTCTCTTGTCCAATTGGCAGGGTCTCCTCAGTGCTCGCCCCACCTACTTCATGCCTGTCCAATTGCAGGATCTCAGCGCCAGCTCCGCCTGCTTCTCGCTCCTATCCATCCAGCAGGCTCTACCCGGTGCCCACCCTGCCCACTTCTCTTTCTTATCCAATGACAGCGTCTCCTAGTGCTCACTCCGCCCACTTCT